TGTGCTGTCTAAAGGTGCCCATACACTGCACGATTATCGTACGATAATCGTATGCGATCGGTTTTTCGTACGATAATCGAGCAGTGTGAACTGTACGGTCGCACGTCTTCTGTCGAACCAGCATGTTCGAACCAGCATGGTTTTCGAACATGCTGGTTCGACAGAAGACGTGCGACCGTACAGTGGAAACGGTCGCACGTCTCCATTCACACTGCTCGATTATCGTACGAAAAACCGATCGCATACGATTATCGTACGATAATCGTGCAGTGTATAGGCACCTTTATGCTGGGCACACACCTTACAACCATCGCAAGACTTTTGTCTTGCGATGGTTGCAAGGTAATTAAAAAAAACATACGATCTGCCTATCTTGGACAGGCAGAGCGTACTTGCGATGATCGCAAGCTGCGCCCCCCTGAGGGGCGGGCTTCCGATGACCGCAATGCCGAACGGGCAGTGTGCGCTTACGCACACCGGCCCGTCCGGCTTTTATCTTACGAACATGCTACATACCCGCCGAACATCGTACGATGCTCGGCGGGTTTTCGAACATGTTCATAAGTTAAAAGTCGTGCGACCTTACAGTAGTAGAGGTCGCACGGCTTCCACACACCTTACGATAATCGTACGATCGCGGGATTTCCAACGATTATCGTACGATTATCCTAAGGTGTGTGGGCATCCTTAGTTAGCCCATAGTACTATGGAAATACTTTTTTAAAGATTATATATATTACAAAAAAAGATATATAAAAAAGTTTTAAAATGTATAAACCTAAAATACGACAAATTAAAAAAATTACCCAAAATCAATAAAGTTTTAATTTTATGAGTTCAAGGGAAAAAAGACAATGACCTACACTAAATATTTTAACCAGACTCTTACACAGGCATGCAGCCTTGGTGGCCATGACAGGTAGGGCAGTGAGCATGCCCCCCTTTCCTGTACCAGGCCAGGCCACATGTCTTTTAACTTCAGTGGGGTACCTAGTAAGGGAGGGGGGCAACAAAGCCTCTTACCTTCTTGCAAAACACCCTTGCATTAATGCTGAGGGGAAAGGGCATCTTCCTCACCTCCAGTGCCCCAAGAAGAAGGTAGGGGCTACTACAAAAGGACTTATTGTAAACTTGGAAGCCCCCTTTCTAAAAAGGGGGCTCTGAGACATCTACTACAGGAGGCGTACAGGGGTACATTATTACCGCACACCCATTCTCACAAAGAGATAAAAGTTATTAAACACACACGTCTTAAAAATTTCCTTTAAATAAAACACAGGCACATTATTGTCATTAATGTCTCCCAAAGTACATCCACATCAATCAGTGTCCAGTGATGTAATCCTCATGAATCATAATGACCTTTCACCCACCCTCTGTTTATGTACCAGACTCCCAGCAATGAATGACAGAATCCTCACCCGGGGTAATGTAAATTGGTCAGTATTGGTCATCTGGTATAATTGACTGTCTGTTTACATTACCACAGCCAGACGAAGGGTGCTTTGCAAGATAAGGAGGCTTTGCCGTACCCTCCAGTGTTGAAAGACATGTGACCTGGTCGGTACTCCCTTTTGTGGCCACCTAGACTGCATGCATGAATATTGGATCTACTATGTACTATGACATATTAAGGGGAACCCCAGACTGTCCAATAAAAGGCCCAGGTCAAGGAGGCAGGCAGTGATCTTAGTCAAGAGGCCATCCTGGTCAGGCACAGGAAAATGAGCAGCAGGTCAGGTGGCAGGATCACAGGGAACATGCTGAAAACCATTCAGCTATTGTGTGCAGTGCAGGCTTGTTGACCAGTCTATCAATGAGGGTTACATCATATCCTGTGCACCAGCCGAATAGCGCATCTTCCTATGCACGTCCCGCGGCAGGCACCAGCGCATGTTTCCCTATAGTGCAGAAAATAGTACTTTGCGCATCCAACTAAATGTGTGTGTGGCTTTTTTTTTTTTTGGCCAGACAGTGTATGTTACTAGAGAGGTTCAAGAAGTTTCTGTTGACATTTTAATGAGTGAAAATTGGCCTGCGTATTAGAGGCAGAGTACAGGCAGGTGTTTTACAACAAGAATTAGGAGACTATAAATGAAACAGCAGTGTAAAACTGGCCAGCAGCAGGACATTATTAAATACCAATGTTAGCCCCAAATCTACTACAGACAAAGAGCACAGGTAGGGATTTTACTAGAAGAATTAAGATAATGCAGAAGATACAGCAGTGTTAAATTGGCCAGCAAAATGGCAAATTCAAATAGCAATTATAGATACTAAGACTATATGTGTTTAGAACAGTCCTTTTTGCACCTCCACTCTCTCATCTGGAACTGGAAAAGACCAAGATGTTCAACAACTTCTTACATAGACGTAAAGAGAATGAAGGCCTAGAATTACCTATTCTCTCACATTACCACAAAGCAGCTCTTTTAAACCAGATTCAAGGTTGGGTTAAAAAGGCGCCTAATAAACTTTGGGCTATTATGGAACAAGATTTATTGAATGGGAATAATCTGCTTGATTTGTTGTTATCTTATAAGCTTACCCGATGGGCACAAGGGCCTCTTCCCCACAAGCCCTGGGGCATTGGTTGGGGGTGTGTGGGCAGGGGGGTTATTCACATTGGGTTACCCCTTTAATAAAGGGGCACCCAGATGCTCCCCCCTTCCTTGTAAAACACAGAGTGACATTTTTGTAAGATATGATTTTTTTAAACTCCCTAAGTATAACATGCAATAGTTTGTATTGGTAGAACTCAGTGACAACACTACAAGGTATCCAAGACACTCAATTTTCCTTTATTATTTTATTTATCTGATAATGTACAGAAGAATAGATATTACCTGGTCCTTTTGATTGCTGCCTCATAGGTAGGAATGTAAAGGACAGTTATACATACTAAACTACATAGTTACATAGTATTTGGCTTGAATAAAGACATATGTCCATCAAGTCCAACCCATATAGGTCCACGCATCATCTCATTCTTAGGGATACTGGTATCCCTGGATATTTTACGGTCCCTCAAGAGATTGTCCAAACGTTTCTTGAACAAATCTACACTCTGGGCTGAAATCACTGCCGATGGCAGTGAGTTCCAGACCTTAACCGCTCTTACTGTAAAGAACCCTCTACGCCCATTGTGCTGGAATTTTTTCTCCACCAACTTTAGTTGGTGGCCTCTAGTCTTTGTAATGGAGTCAATCTTAAACAGTTTGTTGCCAATGTTGCTGTCACCATTGAACATCTTTTACATGAAAATCATATCCCCCCTTAATCTCCTTTATTCCAGCGTAAACATGTTTAAGGTCAGAAGCCTTGTCTCATAGCTCTGGTCCTCCTTCCCCTAATTAGTTTTGTTGCCCTCCGCTGGACTCTCTCCAGTTCAAGGACATCCCTTCTCAGTACCGGCGACCAAAACTGGACCGAGTACTCCAACTAAGAGCCTTATCTGGTATTTTCAGTAATTGGATCCCTCAATTTACAACTTTCCTAAAGGAGAAGTATTGGTAGAGTAAAATGTACTCTTCCTAATACTTTGCGTCAGTGTGTGACATTGTAGGTATCACAAGCCAGCTGTTATAGATCGAGAACTGAGTGGTCAGCGGATCATGACTGTCAGTCATCGCTCCCCGCAGGGATTTCACCCTCCCTTCTCTCTGTTCCTCAAGCACTCATTGGATGAACAGACAGAGGAGACAGTAGGCACAGCTGGCTCTGGCTCTAGAGAGGCAATCAGGCAGCAGGGTGGATCCTGACAATATTGTTGATATCTTTCCCGGCTGCAGTGCGGCTCTGCACTGTCAGCATAATGTGGACTGTAGACCACTAGATGCTGACTTTGGTTCACAGGAGTACAATAGTGAATGTACTCCTTAGACACAAAAGAGGACTAAAGTTAAAAAAAAAGGTTTGGCTTTTGTTCACTTTTAATTTTGTTTTTTTCCCTTTATTTCTGAAAATTATGATTATGAAAACAGTGTTTTTTTCCAACAATCATCGAGTTATAATAAATACTCCTCCCTTGTGCAACTCAAGACGCATCCTGTAACTCTCAGTGTGTAACAAGTAAACTTGCCAACTTTTTTGTGCGAACTAAAGTGGGATTCTCCGACCTCCCTGTCTTTGTTGTAGCACCTGTTGAGTCGCCAGGTGGCAGTCTGCAATCAGTGGAACTACAAGGAGAGGGAGTCAAGTACTTTCATCAGCTCTAAACTCTTTCCCATTTGTTGCAGCTAGGAGCAAACTTTAAACAGACACCCACACTAAGCTTTCAGACTCCCAGCTAAGGAAATTGTTTCCTTTTCACTTCTGAGTTTTTCAGAAGCACAGGAATCCCACCAGCAAAGCAAGCAAACCCCTGAGTGACCTGCAGCCCCTATTAAGCACTGGAGGATCACCCTGCTGACTAGAACCTGCTGCCAGGCGGAGGACTCACTGGCTCCATTACTTTCAGGCTGCTGGGTCACTGCGCTGATCAGGAAAACAGTGTGAGGAAGTTTGGTGCTAAGCCAAAAAAGTAAGGTAAATAATCAGCACAGCCATGCAGCACAGACTTTGATACTGCCTAAAAAAGGAACTGCCGGTGCGAAAAAAAGGGAGGTGTATAGAGGCACATTTTTTTTCCTCTTTCTTCCACAATGTCCTAAGGGGACACGTTTGCTGACTATCAGATTGTTTTCCCACAGGGTGTCAGGCTACAGATTCACAATTTTACAGCCCAGGATTAAGGCTACTGGTTATAATGCTAATTTCAGCACTTTTTACTGAATTTTCTGGGTTATTGCAACATTCATGGTTTTCCTTTCAGTAGGAGTTCTTACGCACGTGCTTTAAACTTTTCTGTTTACATCTTTGGATCAGAAATTGACAGGTGCTCTTAAACAACTTTTTCTCTTTTTTTTGTGCTTTTTTAAAATTCATTTTGCCTTTTTTTTACAAGCTCAAAAGTTGGATTTTTATCTATCGCAGCCTATGAGGGATTTGATCTATTTATTCTATTTTACTTTCCAAACTGGAGACAGAAAAGAAAAAGAGAATCGGAACAGAGATAACTTTGCATGGGATTATGAAGGATCTAGTCAGTGATTATCTGCTACCAATGGTACCTCTACAGGCTCAGTGCTTTCTTGTGAAGGGTGCAGTGATCAGGCTCTGCTGAAACTGACTTTGAACTTGCAAATCTCAAGTGCTGTTCGTGGCTGTGCTCTCCCCTGTTCATCCAAATGATCCTCTTGTTACTTCTCAGAGTCCTAGCGTGCACCCTGGACTTTCAGCTACATGGAGTGCAAGCTGAATCCAATCTAAGCAGCAAATTTCAGTTTGGAAGTGCCAAGGAGCTAAATGGTAAGGCAATATTTGTTTGTTTGGTTTTTCACGCCCATGATTTACAGCCTTGAAAGGTCATTCGCCTCTTCTCAAGGCACATTAGCTCTGGATAACTGATGTGGGATATGCAAATTAGCACATGTTTAGGGTTTAGAAGGTACCCACAATACATGGCATCGGGGCTAAGGAGCCGGAAAAATAAACCTCAGCTCTCCTTTTATTATATATTTATGTTTGTGCCTGTAGACCCAGATCCGTTTGTGGTTTTGAACCGGTGAATGACTCTTATTCCTTTCTGGGATGGAAACAAGCTAATCCCACATAGGAAATGAGAATTACTTTCAACTTTCAAGTGTACCTGAAATGTTTAGAAAACCCTTAAATGAAAGATCCCAGGGGCTGGAAGTTGGTGAGCCTGGAGAAAGGCTTCTTTCATACAGAAGGGCAGCTTCAGGGTGTGTAATTTGCTTAGCCTCTGAACTCCATAGGACTTACATTATTCAGATTTTTAAACACTTGTGTTGTTGATCCTAGGCGAAAAAGTCATTTCTGTTCAGTGGAATATTTTGCAAGAATAAAGTAAAGGCCGCTTACAAGGGGCTGTATAAAAAAAAAGTGAAATTGGTTGTCTGGATTGAACATTATAAAAAGTGTGCAAATAATTATCTGTCTTTCTCCAAAACTCGCGGTGCCTGCGGTAATACTTTGGCACTGAAACACTGGCCATGTGAATTTCCTTACGTTTATGTCAGCTGAAAATTGTAAATCAGGCTGACATAAAACATTGGTTTTATGAGCAGCAATGAATGGGCTTTTATGTCAGGCTGTTGTGTGTGTGTTTTAACTGTTATTTCAGGATCTGATGTCTACATGTACTACTTTATGTATTAGTTGAAGAGGGATGTGAAGAAAGGGTTAATAGGAAGCCAAGATAAAAAGCAGGACACATCCCTTTATCACATGTACTAGAGTTGTGTGTGAGAGCAGATATTGTTCTTGCATGCTGCTTGCTAATGTGTTGACATATGGCACCTGCAGACTGCCAGAGAGCATGATCAAAGCGAAGCCCAGAGATCAGTCTCTAATCAGACTCCACTGTGAAGGACTAAAGAAAACTGATCAAACGGCTGGGGGACCCTGCTATGTTGTGACGGCAATTGATCAAGATGACCTTTGTCTATCCTCTTCAGTGTTGAAAAATAATGTCTTTCTTGCTCTCTCTTAAAAGAAGCAAACAATACTGAACTAGCCCCTGACTTTGCAAGCATCTCTTGTTGAACTGCATGTCTCAGCCTATCGAAAGAATTATATGTTCCCATGGGCACTATAAAATGAACACAGTGCTGCTTTTTAAAAATATTTGTTCTTTTTGTGGGATTACTTTATATTTTTTTATTATGTCTAGACGAATGTAGAGCTTATGACAAAATACAGCATTCTGCACCGATTGTAAATCATCTTTGAATGCTTAAATGTGCTTGGTGCTATGTAAATGTGTGCATCACTATACAAGTAAGAGTCTAGCTAAAAATAAATAAGTAAAAATTATTGTAATTCTGTTCAGTCACTTTTTGATTGTCACTGTCTGCATAGCCATGAGGGTGGCACAACTATTCTCTACTGCAGCTTTGCTTCTCCACAGTGGTGAGGTCCTTTTGGTGTGATCGTCTCTTGTAAGCTACCTAAATACCTTCCCCTCCAGCCCTAAGTAACCTGATACATATTTTATTGGACAGGCTGTGCAGTAGAGTCGGATCAGCTAACAGTGTATTAATTACCACTCTCATCTTTTATGTGTTATCCAAGTGATTATTACATGGTAATATTAAGGCAATTTTAAACCAATTAACACACATCTATCTCCATCTGTACAACCTAGTTTTCATTATGCTTTACTAGTGCATAAACCTTACTTTGCTTGCTATGGACCATTTTCAAGATATAGTTTAATAGAGGTAATGAGGAAGGATCCCAAAAAATCTCATGGCCTTATTTTTGTATCCCATTATAAACTAGGAAATCACATTGCTCCTATAGTTCATAAAAATATATGTATATTGTGTAATTCTAGCACAATTTACAATGCCTGATAAATGCATTTGTCACTGGATGATGAGGAGTTAAGTGACTTGGCAAGTTACTGATGGGTGGGTGGCTAAAATAGGTTGCTTTCATTTAATAAGTAAAGAACAGTGTGTAAAATGGGGTACCCTATAGGAATCAATAACCAATTGTTTTGGCTTGTTCTGATGGAAATCAAAATCTCGTTGCTGCACTCAATTGCTCTACACTTAATAGAACTTTACAGCACGGGTGAGCATGCTTTGGAGAAATTGGAGGAATCTTGCTGAATAAGGGATACGTTTATCCATTCTGAAGGAAGATTTACCCTTAAACTGCACTTTGCCAATGTGAAATCCGGTATTAAGTAGTCTAGAATACCAACTGAAATCCCATTGAACAAATGCCCATCTACTATTATTTCCTCATAAGCTAGAAGAACATATTAATAACTATTCACAGTGCTTTGTAGAATATGCAGATCATAGCCCATTAAGTGTCTACATAAATAGTCTTTTGGGATCCTTACTGGGAAAAAAAAGTTGTAAAAGGTGGTCACTGTGTAATTCCTATTTAATCATTTAGGCTCATCATACTCAAATACACGTGCATTTGTAGTAGTCATGTGACTTCACACAAGTAGGAATCCAACAATTAGTAAGTTGACTGTCACCAACACAGCCAGCTCCTCAAAATAGACAGCTATGAAGGAATATGGGATGAATATTGTTAAGTGTTCTTAGATTTCTGTAAAATGTTTAAAGGCTGTGAATGTGAAGTGCATATTGTAAAATTACAGTTAAGAGTAAGGAAGGGCATAGTTATGACACAAAGACTACAATAGGCCTAAGAATCTTGGGCAGTGAAATATGCCCACCAATGTTATTGGGCCACAAGGGCACGACACAATTTTTTTCCAGAATAATCCAACTAGTTGCACAGTGAAAAGTTTTCTCAGTTTTCTCATACATGGCCCAGCAAAAACAATGGTCATATCTGTTGTATGTGATTTTACTGAATAACTTAAAGTAGAATGATGGCCTCCCATTAAAAAAATATATATGCTGCAGCACCTAATTATAAGTGCGCCTGCACTTACAGTTTAATCTAAGTCCCCTGCAAAACCCCACAAATACTTGTTGAGCCTGTGATTGAGTGGCAATGATGCTGCACTGCTCCTACATTCAAAGAAGAATTGTTGTTATCACTATTGATTCACAAGGCTGTACTTTGTCAATCCACTCCTGGCCACACATAGTCCCGTTCACTGCTTTCTTGATTGACATGACTGCCTTTGTTGCTGAAACCCTTGCACTGTGAGGTGCAGTGTCTGAGACGGCAGACACGTGAGGTGCAAAAGAAAAAGGATTTGGCTCGAGCAATGAAAGGTAAGAAAATTTGTGGTTTACTTTATGAGGCTCGTGCATCATCCACTAATTTATTTAGGTAAGGCAAGGGTTCCCAGTACTTAGAAGGGAGTAATGGGATCCAGTCAGTCTGATGAGTCAGCATTATTGCTTACATTTTTGCTATATAGTAGTGATTTTAATAGAATAGCTTTTTTTTTTAAAGAAACAAAAGTGAAAAAGAACTCTATATTTTAGTTCTTAGGCCTGTGCACCCACGATGGTGATTTTCAGCCAGAGTGAGATTCCATGATGAGGCAAGCAGAACTGAGAGCTGTGACAGCTCTTGCCAATAGGCAATCTAGAAAATGAAAGATCAATGGGTTATCTAGCATGGTGACATCTACCAATATTATGGTTTTCAGTGAACCGATCCTTTAAAATATAGAGACCCTTTAATTGGGATATTTACATTAAAACGACCTAGCAGAATCTACACATTTATTTATGCAGTTAAGTGTTTGTATGACTATGTTCTTCACTAGTCTAACCCTAGGGTTCATTTAACTAAACAGAATGTAATGATGTCCAATATAGGAAAGAAGGTGTTGTATTAAAAATGTGTGTGCAATATTTCCTTATTCTTATCACTATTCTTTTATTACCATATGATCGTGGTATGGTGTCCGATTTAGCAGTCCTCACACCTTATTACTGCTGAAATTCATCTTGCTGTTTTTAAATGTAGAACACTGCATGAGGGAAGAGTAACATGGGTGGACTTATGCTGTTTGCATGCCACTAGCATCCCTAGAAGGCGTTGACAAGTATAGGAAATTCCTAAACTCCTCAGTGCCATCTAGAGGTGCTAGTGCCATGAAAACAGCATCCACCAAGCTAAAAGGTGAGCAGAACGTTTATAAATGAAGCACCAAGTGTTGCTCCTGATGAGCCTTTTAGATACAGATAATGCCAATTGTACATTGTACATAGGGTTTTGATGAAAATCATAGGTAAACCTCAATTTACAGAAGATAAGCAATATTTTGGACATAAGTAAGCATCCTAGTACATTACATGTAACCCATGCTATTTTTGGATGCAATGGACTTCATACTTAATGTGTAAAATATGATATGATGATAAGAGATGAAACAATCCATAGCTTATAGCAATATACGTGAGATGGCAAATGTAACAAGAATTTTGCTTTTATGGCAGCCAAGCACGTTCCAGCTCACTCCACCCGTATATTTTAATGTGTTTGAAACAATATTTCTATGCTTAAAAGAAACAGCAACAATACTGTGATAAACAGAGAGCAACAGGTCTGGGTAGACACAATATTTATAGTTTGTTGTACTTGATTTCCGAAATTATGTCTAAGGCTGGAAAAAGCCACAGGTACACATATAGCTTAACGCATACTGTGAATATAGGAAGGTACTAAAATTTCAAAATTACTTTTATAAAACATACCTGATCAGCAATCATTTATTTTTTCCCATGACAAATTTAACTGATCCTTCAACCCTAGAATTTTTTGCAGCAGTTCCTGGTAGGTGTGCAGTCCAGAGAAGGATAAGACCTTGTCTTGCCTCTTTTCCATGG